TACTTGTAATCGAAATTTATTGTCAAATTATAATATTATAATAATAAATTATAATAATTTATATAATATTACAGTATTTGTATTTATCGATATTTAGTTCCTTGGGACGATTATTTGGTGTCGTAGAACGATTTCGAGCGTTTATTAACACGCGTTACTTGAGCCGGCCGGAGACTTCAATGCCCGCATAGAAGAGATCCTCGGTGATTTCAATACTGGGTTTGCCGGACACGAGTAAACTCAGTCCGTCTTAGCTTTCAGTTTGCTAATGCAATAATTCTTCCATTGTTTAAGCACTAAAGAAACGTAATTCTTTTATACAAACTCAATACCATCAGATAGGTTCTTGAAATTTTCTTAATAATTCTCGTTCTGTGATCTATTCAAAATTGATGTACTTAATTTTTCTTATATAAAATAATTGCACACGAGTACACGGATGAACCTTTCGCAATTAGCAATCAAAGCTCGAGTAATTTATCCAGATGTCTCATCAGTCGTAGAACTAATCAGAAAAAAAAGATGGGAAAAAAATATCGTCTTGATCCTTATGCAATCGTCCCAGTGTTTTCATCGTCGTAAAACGTGAACGATCGCGTATAATGCGCAATTACGGTGAATCCTCTTTGAAAGCGGCGCTCAGAGGAGAATAAAAATCACGTCGTGCAAGCTGCGCCTTTGTTAAAGCATCGTTCGAGAGAGATCCGCGAATGTATTTCAATTACACCCATCCTTGCCGTTCTCCTGCTAGCTCATTTAAAACGAGACAAATGGTATATCATGGTATCACAGTTGAATGGAATAAACCAGGAGAAGGCAACTTCGTTCGAAGTGGGAGGCGCCCGATCAGCAACCAATAGAAACAGCCGCCACCCACGAAGCTATAAAAATTAATTTATCACATGGATCGCCGCCTACGCCATTGCTCCGTTCCCGCTGCCACAAGATTTCCCAGCATCCCCGCGAGATAGCGTTATCTGTCGGGTCTTCCCCGACCTTTCTTCGAAAACTTTTCTACTCCAACTGTACTGTAACATTCGAAAGATTATCTTACGTTTATGATTGTTTATGCTTCAATTGGAACGTGATTCCTTAACGGTTTGTTTTTATCGTATTATTACTTTTCGATTTTAAACAATATATACGCTCCTTCTATCTGAGTAATAATAATACATCGAATTTTATTTGTGAATTAGTAAAATTAACTTAATTTTTATAAATATTCTGTAGAACATATAAAGGTTTGTGTTATAAGTCTATATTCACATAATTACTAAAGTTGATTTAATTAGTTGTTTTAGAAAATCTCGTAGTGGCACGCTAATAATTATAATTCATCTTTCAGAATATCAGATTTAAGGTATTCATAGTTTTTAATTGTTATATTTAAGAAAAGATTTACTCTTTTTTCGCATGTATCTCAGATTTCTTTAATAATGTATTATAATTAATGTGATAAGCTGAGCGTTCTATAAGCCTTATTTTTTGTATGGTTTGTAATCTTTCATTACCGCGCGCTTTGAACAGAACTGCTATCGCCATCTAACTATGTCCAGTAAAATTAACAAAATAGTTCCGTTTATCGTCGGTAACGCTCTCTAGATACTGACCCGATATCATTTTGGGGTGTCAGGGACCCCGAAGCACCAGTAAATGTCTGCATACCGACCTGATATCATCTTGAGGTGTTAGGGAGCCCCCTGTGGCTTGGGGAGCTTAGAATACGGCCACGGTATCCCCTGCCTGTCGTAAGAGGCGACTAAAAGGGGTCACACAAACACATGCACGCACCCACACACACACACACACACACCGGCTCAGACAATTAAGAGTATGGAAATGTAAAACTGATGATAGATGGAAAATGTACAAAGAAAAAGATAAGGTAATTCAAAAAATGCGCGGGGTTTGGTGCTGGCGGGGCTGCGTGGCCGATAAAGTTCGTTGGGCAAAACGGGGACAGATTAGGCCCCAATAGCACCGGCCCTTTAGGGGCGAAAAGAGATGGAATGGAATGGAGGTGTTAGACTATTACATCGACTGCGGGGTGAGTCACTATATAATGTAGGTAGTTTCACCCTCGTTTTTAGGTCTTATATTTCGCTAGATCCGGTCGTATCTATCGTTATCCCAAATTTTTTACGATTTGTTCGTTTTTAGGTCTTATATTTTGCTGTTCGTTCTTATATTTCACTGGTCCGTATTATCTACCGTCGGTATTGACGTCGATGTACCTACCGGCGGTAGGTAATACCGACAAATGAAATATAAGAATGAATAGCAAAATATAAGACCTAAAATGTCCCTAACATCTTGGGATGTCAGGAATCCCGGCGACTTTCAGCGCACCGATCTAATATCATCTTGGGGTGTCAGGGACCCCGGCGACGCTCTGCGCACCGACCTAATACATCTTGGGGTGTCAAGGTCCCCAACAACGCTCTGCGCACCGATCTAATACATCTTGGGGTGTCAGGGACCCCGGCGACCTGTGCACCGACCAAATATCGTCTTGGGGCGTCACGGACCCCAATGCCTCTGCGTGCCGACGTAATATCATTTTGGGGTGTTAGAGACCCCGAAGCTGAAATGTGCGACCCATAGACTTTCTGTAGAAAAATTGAAACCTCTTGGCATTGAAGATTGTTTGACAAACTTGAACTTTGGTAAATACATCATTTGAAAAAAGCAACTGAGTTATTATTTAATTTACCCAATTTCATTTCTCAGTTATTTATTTAATGCTTGTACATTCTTTTCTCAGCTATTTATTTGACTTAAATTCTCCTCAGTCTTATAGCGACTGCCGAGGGGTGCGGATCAACCTATCAACCATAGATATACTAATAATTTACCTTCGGAGTTTAATTAATTAATTTATTTATTTTTTCCGCCTATTAACAAGCTCATCAAAGAGGAATAAACTTTATAATTTTATCTCTCTTCTGGGGTTCGGCCGACCACCCCTTTTATTTATTATTTCACCCTTCCTTATGAACCACGTCTCACTTTTTCCGGCTATTTATTATTTTATCCTTCCTTATGGACTAAAGTTCACCCTTTTGAGTTATTAATTATTTTATCCTCCTTTATGGGTTAAACCCGCGCTTCCTAATTATTTATTATATTTTATTTCTCTTTATATGCCTCACAAGGACCACCCTTCCCAGTGTTTATCCCATTCCTACTCTTTATGTACTAAGGTCTCCCTTTGCAGTTATTTATTTTTTTCATTTTTTTCATGGACATCGTATGGACTATCCCCTGAATGTTTCTAATCACGTATCCTCGTACCCTTTGTATTCCTGCATCACTTACATCCCAGCCCTTCTTATATCCCGGCATTCCTTGTGTTCCTGCATTCCTTGTGTTCCTGCATTCCTTACATCCCGACATCTCTTATATTCCTGTGTCCTTACATCTCTTTGCATCTCTTACATCCCTGCCTCCCTTGTACCACTGTAAGCTCCTTTGGAGTAAGAAATCATAAAAAATTTAGTTACTTTTTCTACCGCCAGATGGCGCTGATTCGAGGTCGAAATTTTAGTTCACATTTTTCCCGCTAGAGGGCCAAAATTTCGGCATGATATAGTTCCTTTTTTCGACACCAGAGGGCGCTGATTCGACATCGAAATTTTAGTTCACATTTTTGCCGCCAGAGGGCCAGAAATTGAGCATGATATAGTTCCTTTTTTCGACACCAGAGGGCGCTGATTCGACATCGAAATTTTAGTTCACATTTTTGCCGCCAGAGGGCCAGAAATTGAGCATGATATAGTTCCTTTTTTCGACACCAGAGGGCGCTGATTCGACATCGAAACTTTAGTTCAAATTTTTGCCACTAGGGGGCGCTTTTTTCGAGAATTTCGCGAGAAAGGAATAAAGGCATGTAAGGAGTGTAGGGATATAAGGGATGAGCGATGTATGGAATGTAGGGATGAAAGGAATTAAAATCTGTAAAGTTTTTTTTTTTTTTTTTACGTGGGGAAATCTTGCATAAGACCCCCCGCCGTCCACTGGGGGAGGATGGCGGGGGAGTATCAGATTCTTACTGACTAAAACCCCACGGCGACCGATACTGGCGCTAAAGGAGGGCTCTGGTATCTTATTATATTTCTCCAGAGCCCTCCACGCCTGGTACACGGATGCCTATCTCGGGGGAGGTCCAAATTGAGACCTCCCCCTGCTGCCTACAGTGTGGCCGACACCGGGGGTCGCACCCGGTACCGGCTTGTCGGGCCGCGGAACCCCAATTCCTGACGCCAGCAGCCCTCACGGCCCCACCGGTTTTAATGGTGAAGCCGTCATATTTACGATTAGTGTTGAGGGAAGGGTTAGATCAACCTCCCCTTGCTGTTTCTCTTATTGCGGTAATATGGCAAGGCTGAGAGCTAGCGACACTGATTGGTTGATGGGATATAGTTTTTGATATTACCATCAACGTGCGTTAGACTGTTGCAGTGCAAAGTATTTCACATTTTTATACTAGGATACAGCAGATGGCGCTCGTTCTCAAGGGACAATCTCTCGTCGGTGATCTGTAGTCACATCTTTCCTACAATTTCAACAACGCTACTGTCTTATTCTATTCTGAACCGATAATGTCGCATTTGACATGAAAATGATAAGGGATTTTATTTGGCTTCCTCAGGATAAGAATAATGGATATGAAAATGAAGATGAATATATTTCCTCAGGATTTAAAATACAGAATAAACGAAGTACATCTATGTAGTTCTCTAAATAATATTTATTTACAATACATTTTAGAATAGGAATGGCCAAACAAACCATATGCCGATTTTAGCATCCAGCACGATATGCTGTTTAATCATTTTGATACTTCTGCGAATGTTTTAATCTGTAATTGGTACATAAATTTGGTCCATAGTAGTTGTCAGCAATTGATATTATTTTTCATAATCTTATACAACTATTGTAAATACTATCGCAAAAATATCAAGACAGGGATGAATATTAGGGCAATTAAACAAATCATGCGAGAGGACATGTTGCTTTAATCCGCTACTACACTTACTTGAATATTTAATACAATTTTGTTTTTTCAAAAATTCCTAATAGATTATTTAGAGTCATTAATATAGGAGGGATTCAATCTTTATTATTTAATATTATGACTTTAATTGATTGCTTATACTCACTTGTTACATCATATATTAATTACAATATGAACTTTGGTATTTTTATTATATATATTTATATATATGTATTATAGAAACTTTAAAATATAATCTTGTCAATGTGAAAAGAATACATTATAGAACTATTATACAAAAGTCTGGCCATCAAAGTGTTAAAATGACCGAAGAGCGCAGTGTGGGGGCGACTTAAAGCAGTATGTCATGTCATCGCCCTAATTTGTATGAATTATAATATATCATACTTCAAAAAATTGCATTAATATTCATCCCTGTATCAAGGTGATCAAACAGTATGTTGTGGCAACGACGCCAGTTTGATTCGTTTGGGTTACAAAGCGATAATGTACAGTATACTAATCGGTATCAAGAACAAATTATACTTTCGATATGACATGACCAAAGTCACTTTTATTTTCGTTTTCTTATCCTCTAATCCTTAATCGTATTCTTAAAACTTTCATCGCACAGCTATAATATCGTTTCACATACGAGACGTCTAAAACCAATACCTACTTACAATTCCTTTGTTGTTTTGCATATCGCAGAAAAAACTTCCTGAAGAAGCTTTTCACTCTAGAAAGCTGTCAAGTCTGCTAGTAGCTCTCCATGGTATGTTTCTCTACAGATCAATACGTTCAAAGTTGAATAAATAATTCCTTTGGACGTCTTCCTCTTTCACATTTAAATCAACTTCGACAAGGAAATCCTTTCGGACACATGCTTCCATTACACTTTTCAGGATATGCAAATTCCATCCCCCAAAGGAGATCTCCGAAATGCACGATCGTTTCAAGAGAAACATATATTTCTCATGATGCTCCAGACGCCTCGTATGTCTTCGAAATCTTATGCTAATTTTATCGAATCCTTCTATTACACTGTTCCATGTCAAATGGCCGATTTTCGTGACACAACACAATCTGGCGAGATTTCATAACACAAAGCCATCTCAAAATATTTATAATACATCGTTTCGAAGTTTAAAGTTTGTAGAATATGACTACACAAATTTTTTACAAATGCTCTTACTATAAAATAATTACAGTGAACAATGAATGAAAATAAAATTCCTGTATAGGCCATTTCCTTTTTAAAGTTAAATTAAGAGACACATTTTTCTTGTTCAATTAAAATGCCATTAATGACATACGCAGCACAGAACAGAAAAGTACAATTAACAAACAAACAAACGTTTCATTAATGCAACAAATTTCTAATTAAAATAAACACTGAAATATATAATTTCGAACGATTCATGGATTTTTACAACCACCTTTTGATTAATAAATATTAATTTAAATAAAATTATAGGTGTTGAAAGTTTCATGAAAAATGAAATTCAGGATTCTTCGTAGACCTGTAGTTTCGAACGTTAGAGAACGAAAAGATCCTCGCAGCTTTTGGTTTTTCTTTTGAAGCCCAGCAAGTGTTTCAGGATCTTTCTACGATTTTTACTTCTTTTTCGTCTGGTCGCCTGATCTCGATCTCGTTGCGGATTCAGTTTAATTTGTGCCAGGATACCGACTAGTAGTTCGTCCACATGGTGGGCCAGCCCCGAGGAAGTTTCGATGAATTTGCAACCGCAGTTGTTCGCCAGACGTCGACCAACTATTGAGAGAGAAACCACGAATTTCGCTTGAAATTTGTTACTTTAACAATTGTTAATTGGTTTGAAATTCGTTAAGGAAAATGTTAGATACTACTTTTTCAGTGGACCATTGATTTTATCTATCATTATTAGAAAGTGTTGATTATTCAGCACTGGCGTAAGTCCAGTAACTTAGAAAATTTATTTGTAAATATTACATTGACAACAGAGTATAGTAAACTTTCCTAGGGAAAATGGCGATGTAGTTTTCACACGCTTTATACATCGCATGAATGAACGAGACACACGTTGAAAAGGGTTAATATGTAAATAACAAGCGACGTGTATAACTCGTTACAAAGTTCCCTTGTTATTTCTATAACTCACCAACAGACGGAACCTCACGTTTCCGCTCAAGATCAACTTTGTTCCCGACGAGGATCACTCCGTGGCTTGCCATGTAATCGCTTTTCCATAGATACATCAGAGTTTCCTCAGCCATCTTTAAGCTTCGTCTGTCTACCACGGAATAAACTACCACGTAAACGTCGGGGTTGTAGGTCGAGCAAAATGTTTCTACCTAATTAGAGCAAATAGAAAAATAATATTACAAACTCGTTAAATTTTCAGACACTGAAATGAAAATTTGTTTGCCTTTTCGCGTAAACGAAATAATGGCTCTAGGAAATTGTCTATTTAAGGAGGGGTAATTTAATAATTAATTAGCAAGGGCGCAACGTAGGTTTCTCATTAAGAAGGTAGGTACAGAGCGGATCCTCTTGCCATTTGACTTTAATTTTGGGAGAATCTTGAAGAAACTCAGGGAAAACCTAATCTAAATTTTCTTGTTCTACGTAGAAAAAAGAAGCCTAAGTTGCACGCGACTGTACAAATAATAATAAGAAAACTGAGGATCTAATCCAGGAAATCTAAATTTAGAATTTAAATTTAATTTCAGATCTATTTTCTTAAAAATTTGAGTATCGTCGTACAAGTTTTAGTAAAATTTGTTACTATTACTTTCCGAGTTTTACTTTTAGCGTTAAGATTACCGAGAAAAAGAACATTTAACGAAGTTTTATCGGAACTTGTGATACAAGTGTAGGTTGAAAATCTGGTCACGCAATACAACGATCCTCCATAAAGGAGAAACAGCTCATAAGAGGAAAAGCAATGTGTCGATTCTGTGTGCTTGGAAAAGGATCTAACACGAAGTCTCCATTCCGGGGGACGCAGATTTCATTAATCCAAAGGTGAAGGCTGGATAGATAAAGTTTCCTTTCTTTCATTCGACCTTAATTACGCTAACTTGTTCTTATAAAAAGAATCACATTTGCTAATTCTGTACATTTCATAATTTTATAAGAGATGCTCGTTAATCTTATAAAATATAAAGATTCATTGATAAATTCATTTAAAGTGCTAGTAAAATTGAATTTGATCGTAAGAATCAGTTAAGTTTAATTTTAATTAAATCTAGAATCTGGTAAACCTTTTGCTTTGTACCTGAGGCAAATTGAATTTATAATGTAATCTTGTGAAATTCAAGCAAGATAAAAGTAACACGATGTTAAGTAGAGATAAGTTCACCGCTTTAAATAACCTGGTTAATGTTTTCGTTATGAGGGGCAGAGTTTATGAAAATATCTACCTGATGGTCGCAAAACGGGAAGAAAACAAGAAAGTTTAGAATGAATTTTCTATAATTAACCGAAACTTTGTCATGCCAGGTAAATTATTAAATGTATGTTACGTTCTAAAGTAAATAACGCGTTGCAGAAAATTTTGAAATTCAAAGAATATTTTTTATTGTCTAAATAATTAATATTTCAAATGAAGCTTATGCTAAATACTGATTTAATTAATTAATTATAAATGGCAATGAGAATTAACGTTATTACTTCCATACCTCCAAACAAAAATTATTAGACATTTTCAAACAATTTTTTCATTTAACTTTTTTGCTTACTACACTATATTTAGAGTACACGAAAATATTAATCATAAAAAGAACAAATGAGAAATATTTTTCATAGAGAATGGCACGATTTATAAAATAACCTGATACTTAAATAGATAAAGTATGATATATTTTTCTTCTTTATTACAGAATTTAACAACGTTACACTTACTGACATCTCTGCTGCAGGATGATCAATGATCTCTAGTTCCGTTTCCTGACCGTTCAACATCACGGAAACGGTCTTTTGTCCGTATTCTTCGTCTGAAACAAATTTCAATAATAAAATAATAATAATTTCCATAGCATCAGTTATTTATTTCCACCTTTTCCTAATATATTCCTTAAGTTTGATATTTTTAATTATTAGTATTCAGAATTTTGTCTGTTTACGCGATTTTTAATATCAGACTATTAAAAAATAAAATGGAATCAATATTAATATTGCAAAAATGAGTAGAAAAATAACGACACGACTTGTTTCTTAAGAAGATACCTTCCTCCAGTTTCTCATTATAAAAAGGGCAATGGAGATCGATGTCATTTTTTTATTCAAGAAAAACAACCGCCCAAATGAAAATGGCTTCTCTGACAATGACATTAATATCCATTCCTTCGTAACAATCGTGGATTAGCGTGAAAGGGAAATTTCTCAAGAAAAATGAGAATAGAGCTAACGAACCGCGGGTCTCCTTTCTATCATACTTAATCAAAAGAAATCTGATCTCATTTGCTCATTAAACATTAAGGTTTCACAATTCCGTAGAAAAAGAAAGAAATAATTTTTATTACCAGTTGTGATTCTTTTTTCCCAATTAAACTATTTAAAAGAAAATGAAAATTACTAAATTTTTAAGTATGTTACTTTTTAGTTTATGGACTCGGTTTTAATTGATTAAAATTAGTTTTACGACTCTTTTATTATAACATTGCAACAAACACTCTAATTGAATGCTACTTATCACAGATATATGAAATTCAGGTAAACCGCCTAAGTAATTCATGAAACATTTAATTAGTTCCTAAATTAATGCTTAAACAGTTGATTTAATTCAATCAGCTCCGGTTGACTGTGCTAATTAACAATATTATAATTATAAAGAAGAAAAATGTGCTAATCTGTTCCTTTTTCATTAATAATTTGCTAATGTAGGAATATTAAGCATCGCAGAGATTATACTAATGAAATCAGGAAAGGGACATTAATTTTTATCTACAGGCAAACAGCCTGGGAATCGTATTTCTTTTGTTTCGCAGCAAATGAAAAGCTTTTAATGCAAAAAGGGAGAAAAGCTGTTGGAGAAATGGCAGACAATCAACATTATTCGACTATTCATTCGCTTCGGATGTAAACGAAGTCACTTTCCTACCTACATTTCCTGTTCAAGTACAAATCACACCAGCAGATCGACTACAATTTGCATTTACGGGTGCTTGTACCACGAACAACCCCCATTGACCATATAATCGCGTCACTTATTCGATTTGTCACGCTTTACTTCTTTCAAAAAAGATGTGAACTGTTATTCAATAACTAGAGAAAATATTATTATAACTAATTTTGGAAAGAAATTAAAATTGTTCTAATCCCCTTTAGACTTTATTTCAAAATTAATTATTCTTACAAATTACTTAAAATTTTAAATATCTGCTATTATAATTTATAAGGAGAAAAGAAGAGAAATTCGGTCGCAAAATGGTTAAGTGAATTTTGAATTCGAAGGTCCACCATTTCATTCGCGTAGCCGATATTGAATCTGAGAGCAGAAGGTCAAGCAGCAGTCTTATCGAGTAATTCAAAGACAAGAGTAAACTTTGAAAGGTATTAAATGCAGGCCTCGAAACGTTTCGCGAAATCTCGAAACGGTTGAAATCGATTTGGCTCGAAGCGTATGCTGTGTCGAGGAAACATTTCGCTTGAAATTACGCCAACTTTAATAACTACGAACTTGGTAAGGTTTCCAGAATTTGCGATAAACAATTTCAAACTATGTACTTGGAAATTGTTAGGGAAATTTATAAAATTAATTAAAGATACTCAGCGAATCGAACGAAATTACTAGCTAAATATTAGCTCGTATCGTATTAAATGACCAACTTTCAAACATATTGAGTCTGAAATGATTTCATCACATAAAAGTATCGTAAAGTAGCATTTATACTATATCAAATTAAAGCTTAAGGCTTAAATTAAATGTTTATATAAATGTTTCATTGCAATTCTAAATATAAAATGGCGGGTTGCCAGGTACAGCAGATAATAATTAATTTCGAGATATATAGAGTCTAACACGAATTGATGACATAAAAGTATCTCAAAATAGGATTTATCATACATCAATTTAAAGCTTAAAGCTTGATTTAAATTTCTACATAAGTGCTTCTTCAATATCTTTTATACGAAATTGCTGATTACTAATTACAATAACATATATGATCTATTATTTGTTCCCATGAAAGATCAGCCATTTTGTAATAAGAATATTCATGAAATCCTTACGTAATTATTTTCATTATATTTTAAGCTTTAAATTGATATAGCACAAGTACCATTTTATGATACTTTTCTGTCATGAAATTACGTCAGATGTTCAATGTTTCTGAACCTATCATTTAATAAGCAACCATTTATTAGAAATATATTGAAGCGATTTCCGGTACAAACTGTCATACTAAAAGAGTTAAATTAAACACAGAAACAATTGTATTAACATAGAGAACGATTAAAATTAAATCCACCAAATTCAACATATTAATATACCAGGGAATTGGTATATTAATAATGGAATAATAATTTCACATTTATATCAATATTGTACGGAACATCATATCAAATATTTATTATACACTACCGAGTGATGTGTCGTAGGCGCAGATATAATCGCTGGTGGTGAACTGCGCGGTGAGGGCGGTTTTACCAACCCCCGATGCACCCAACATGCCGACTTTGTAAGTGGCCACTCGTTCGTTGCACGTGTCCTCCTCAGCTTCCATACCAGAAAGCTGCGACGCGGAGCTGAAACAAACGGAAAGAAAAAAAAAAAATCGTGAAAATGTGGCTGACTGGTGGAATCGTATCGATCGAGCAAGTAAAAAAAAAAGAAAGAACGTTTGTTGCGCGAGTTGCTTGCCTTGTAGTTCTTTAATGGATCTTATCAGCCCGGTTAATTCAAACTCCGGAAAAAGTACCACAATTTGAATTTTTATTTTCTGAATAATATTTAAATTCGTGCATTAATGGAACAAAATTGTGTATAAAAATGTACTGGGTTTTTCAGTACTATAAATATTAAAAATTATAAAATACACAGAATATCATATAATTGGTGGTAAAACATTGAAGAGGGATGATTTAACATGAAAAAATAAAATGAAAATGTAGAATGTAATGTTTTCATATGAAACTTTATTTTTGAGAAAATGGTCTTTGAATATTTGCTTAGTGCTCCTGCAATTATCTATGTTTCAAACTATCATCAATTATTTTGCAATTTTTAATTAATGTGAGAGTAAATTAAAGGGTAACAAATACATAGTATATTTTTCAATTCAATATATAAACTATATCATTTTCATTTTGAATCACCTTTTCCCAAGTTATACCAGCAATTACCTAATACTCTGCGTTTATGTCAGTGAAACAGTTTTTCAATTATTCTACATACATTAATGAACCATCTAACCGTTAAATTGGTCAGTTTTCGTTCTTTATCGAAAATTTCTTGATGGTTTTTCAGATTTTTCCTCATAGAAGAGCACTCGCTGAGATTACATCTTGTTGCACCGCAATCTGCTCGGGGAAGTTGGGTCGTTTTGCGACAGCGATATAACCTTTTGGGATTCGAGCGCGGAAACCCGGTGGAAAATTATACGAGACGAACGAGCAGGGAAACGCAAGAAAGGCTCCTTTAATCTCTTTAAGTGGAATCGTAAGGGAGAAGGATCTTTTGGCTTCCGTCAACCGTTACCCGAGCCGCGAACACACCGAGCTGGATGTAATTGCTCGACGTTAATTACACGGCTGTTAATTGCTTCGCGAGAGGAAAGACAAGTGGCGGGCTTCGACATCCAAGGCCAGAGCCACCTGACAATTGTAACATTTTACCCCATGTAAATTCAATTATATTCTATTTTTATGTTTATATTCAATATCGCGAAATTGAAAGCTTCCGCCATTCGTTACCAATTATCTTCATTAATTCAATTCCACAACTTTTCTCCGTGCATTTATGCTTTCAATAGAATTTAAACTTTGTATCAAATATTTCCGGTTGAAAATTCTTTAAATTCTTAAAGATTAGGAAATGTTAAATAATATTCAATAGCTACTTTATGTGATCTTTTGAAACAGTATTAACTCACAGTCTCGAGTGAAATAAGAAAATCCCCAAGAATCTTATTTAATATGACTTTTACTAGCGGGAGGTACCACAAACAAAAATGATGTGCATTTGAAGTTGAACCAACATTTTCCATCTATTTTTTTATTTTACTATTAAAAAAGTATTAAATGTTCAAAACAGAAATATAAATCCGCTGCCACTGACGAGCTAAAGTTATACGAAATGACATATTAAAATTTCATATTTATTTTATTAAAAAAGAAATTTCTTCCTGGTATCGTTCAATATTGAAATACTACAAATTTTGATACCAAAATATAACAATACATTGTAAAATGTTTATATTTCTAAGGAATGCAATAAACAAAATTGATTTCCGGAAATTCTAATATTGAAATAATTCTTGGTACTCACCTAAGTAACCTTGCTTCCCTGGTGCTGCTGCAACTTGTGCCAGAGGATGTGACACTGTTGATGCTTTTGCTGCGACGGCTTTTCAACGAATCCCCGAGGTTGTAGACCCCGTTCGCTGTTATGGAAAATGATCTTAGTCTGTAATATTCCACGCCATTCTCGGTTTCACCCTCGTCAGTCCCGTTGGCGCCACCGCGTTTCGTTTCAGCAAGCATTGGCTGCAACAGCAACGATCATTCCTTCTTAACCCTTTCAGGGCATACACAAAATCATTTTGGCCCAACTATAGAGATAAAATGTATAAAATTTTATCTCTAATAAAACTGTCTTGTAAAGGATCTCAATAGTCTACTTGAATTTCTTGGAAAAGAAATTTCTTATACAGAATCAAAGTAAAACGTGGAAGTTATGTAAAATAGAAACACGTTGTGTACAAAGTAAGTCTTCTTTCAATGTAAAATAAATTTCAAACTTCTGTCGTAACATAGTTTATTGATTTTTTGTTATTTTGCATTTTTCAATTCTTATTCATATCTTCATCTTTCTTTATTGAAGAAGTATCATATCTACCTGTTATTTTGTATATAAAGGGTTTCACCTTTTGTGCAAGGGTTCTTAGTTCCTTTCATATTTTCAAGAGAAATATGTTCTGGGTCTTAATAGTACTGCAAGAAATTTTATTTGTTGAAGAGGTAGATAAAAATAGCGACACATTTATAGTATGAATTAAATCGTCAAAATTAAAGCAATAAAAATGAAATCAACGAAAATCAAATAAATAAAAATCAAATCAATAATCTTCTGTCGGATGCAAAAAAAAAGAAATAAACTTAATAGGATTTTTTCATTTGGAATATAACAAAAATTAAATCGATCATGAAAGCGAAAGTCACAATGCACAAATTCGTATCGAATTCATGCGTGAAAATTCATCAGGGATTTATGCGATACGCTTCTATTCCCGGCGCTTTTGTTCGAAACGCGACACGATTCTCTCTCATCGTAAGCTACAAATAAAGCGCACGTGCTGCGAAATTAACCTGCACGAGACGAGGAAATAATTTCACGGACCTCGTACGAAACTGAACTGGCTAGAACCGCTCTTCCACGAAATATTCGTTCAAACGTCAAAATTAGCTTGCTCTTTGAAACGAATTTTACTCCTTTTATTAATTTTGAAGGGTAAAGAATTTAAAGGGGATGAATTAGTCACAATTCATTCATATTGCAGAAGGAAAAGATCACTAATCTCTCAACTTAGCATTAAAGGTACAAAATAAATTGTTTATATAAAAATTTTAAATCAAATCAATATTTTAAGCTTTGTGGGATTCGATAAGTGATCTGTATGAGGGATTAAGGTCAAAGTGAAACCCTGTCCATCAATATGACCATTAGAAGAATTAAGGGGTTATTCCTGTTACCTTGTTAAACTAATTCCATGAATCAACTTATAATTAATAATTCTAAATTTTTCATAATTTCTGAGTTCTAAAAATTAAATTAATGTTCCATATTTTTATAAACATAGTCATTTGCTTTTTCTAGCACTTCTTCTCATTTTTCTATTAATTTGAAAATGTATTCTTCAAATTATAATACTTATCCAACTTTAAGTCGTTGATCATTGCCTTCCACGACGAAGCTCGCAGTGATTCTCGCGGCATGTTAATCGGAAGATACGTCAAACGGCACTGTTATTGCCTTTGATAACTGATCACGAAAAAAAAATCTGGAAGTATCGCAAGTTTTCGGCAAGTGATCCGCCGTTATAAAGGAAGGTTAAAAGACGGCGATGTTGCACGCGATCGAGAGGGTCGTCGCGTCAATCGTCGAGTCCAGTTACATCGACGTTTCAATCTGGTGAATGGCCCTTAACCTTTCATACATGCAACCCCTTCTCACGAACTTTCTCAACGAGCTTTCATTTGAAGAAATTATTTTTCATTCCTTCGATTATGTATTCGCAGTACTGCATTATTGAACGAATTCTACGAAACGTATCGGATTCATATCAATGAAAGTTCGTGGTATTGTATGAATTCAAGCTGAAGTTATATATCTTTGAAATGATATTTGTCAAATGCAAAATAATTAGTGTTTAATCGTTCTTCCGATTTCCAAATGTAATTCCTATTAGAATAGTTTCCTAGGGCCGTTATTTAATTTAGGTATCATTTTCTCAAATTGATAAGAGCAAAGTTAGTTTTAATTCCAAAAATATATTCGCAATTAAATATAAATAAATAATTGCGAATAAATTATATTAATACTCATTGAATTAAAGCATGTTTAGTTTAAAGCCTTGGAGGCTTGTTATAATATAAGGGAGCTGTTTATAATACAATATAAAATTCTATCTTAAAAATAATATATTTCTGACTTCTAAGAATTAATAGATCAACTGGTCCTTTCCTCCTAAGAAAAAAATGCAACAAGTGTTTAAGTTGTGCAAACTAATGAAACGAAACAGAACAAACACAACTTGTAGTTCATTATTCTGTGAATGAAGTTTCTAGTGACATCCTATTGTACAGCTCACAAAAGAAAGAAAAATAATATAGGGCAACTGTGCATCTTCCCTGTCTCACTAGGGTAATGAGACACAGAAGATGAAATATGTTGACGCATGATGTGAATCTGTTGTTCATAACAGCATACATGATCCATATAACAGAATTAATCAACACCAAATCTTCGTGTAGAAACTAAATTTACTAGACTACATAGTATTGATGGCTCTAGCTATACTTCAGGTACCTTTTTAATATGAAATATTGTATGAAATATTTCCAAAGATATTGCATTCTTTAAAAATTTATCCATGTAAAAAATAAAACGATGGTTGCCCTGAATTAAATGCAAGTGCATTCGTGTGACACGAATAAATATCGAACCCTATCGAACATAGATTACAATATTGATTATTTTAATTACTAATATAATCCCAATAAATTTTTTATTAGAATTTTACATTATCGATCTCTTTATAAGTTATTCGTGTAAAAATGCCGCTATCTTCTTTCTTCTTACAGTTAAATCGATTATCGTTGGTGCCCTACTCATCGTCAACCTTTTCTAAATAACACGTCATGTCTGTGCCGAGCTTCGCAGATCTCGGAAAAAGTGCAAGGGATGTGTTCACTACTGGTTACCATTATGGCAAAAGTCTCATGAAATTGACTGGTAAAGCAGGATCTGGTGGCGTGCAAGTAGACAGTGATTTGCGATTGTATTTCGACGATTCGAAGGTAAAAGAATCTTCGAATAATTGTAAAGAAAATTAAACAGAATTATGGATCATAATTATAGAGCAGAAAATTAAGGAAAGTCTTAATTATCAAAGCTAGATATTTGAAAATTTTAACAAACCTTGATCTACGATAGAGAGAATGTTATTTTTTTTTAATTTCACTTTTTAAAAAGAATCTAGAGGTTTTGGTAATTTTATAATTACAGTTAAGTGGTGCCGCACACGTAGAATACAACACGAACGAATACGGAATTTTTCGGCAACAATGGTCAACAGACGGTACCATGATGTTAGGATACACCGTAAATGGATTCCCAATATCGAGTATGGGTCTGCTATCAGAACTCAGCTACAATCCTGCAACTGTTGCTGGAGCTATAAAATGTGGGCTCAAATGCAACCAAGAAAACGTTAACGCAGTCTGTTCGATCTGTTAGTCGATTTTACCCCTTTTCATTAATTAATTTACGATCAAATTTACGCATATTATAGTTGAATTCGAAAATTACAATTACAACTGCAATTTGGTATAATTACATTTGCATGCTAACTTAGGTTCGTTTAAAAGCGAACAATAAAATTTCATTTTAGCACTGCGAATAGGTTTTACGAAATTCACCCGCCATTCAATGTAATTCTCTTAACACCCTTGCAAGCAATTTTCATTATCGTAAAATAAATTTTCTAATTTTCAGTATTAGAAAAGCGACAAAATTACCAGCTGAGAATGTGTTAATTATTTGACACAATCGTTATCCTTGACTTTGCACATACAATTGACATGTTATCTACACACAACACCTTGCATTTGCATTTATGCAATTAATGATTAAATGAACTCACAATTATCGAAAATCGTTTAATGATTTTGTCCTGTTCTCGTTTACACAGACACTAGACAAATTTTAGTGTAGGTATACGCTGCAAATATTGAATTTAAACTGTCGTCAGGTTCAGAGTTATGGAACGTTTCGTATTTACTAATAAAAGCGTATGGAACAGAGAAAAAAAGTTTTTGAAACGATCCAATTTACTGACATGGAGAAACAAAATTTCAATTAATTTAGATTTCTGAATATAACCGAGTTATACATATACGGAATATTTCAACTTTAGTGAAATATGTCATTCGTTAAAATAAAGCAAAAAATGTTTAACACGTTGATTGGCATAATAGTAACAGCCATCAGATAATTTTATTTCACGTTGAAAACTGGAAGATTTCTAAATGAATAAATTAATTTTATTTATAGCTAGTGACTTCAATTCGAATATAAACGTATTGGGATCAATCGTGACAGCTATAAAGGGTCTGATGATCGGTTATCAAGGTGGATATAGCACGGAAACAAATAGAATGACGAAGAATGACATCGGCATGACTTATCTTTACCATGACGTCGGATTACATTTTCGATGTGTCTCCATACCGAACGAATATGGACTGTCTCTCTTATACAAAGGTTACAAACTTTTAATTAATTGCAAAATTTTAGATTTCAAATATAAGTTAAAATGTATTAAATTTCAAGTATGTTAAAATGATTTTAAATTGTTCAAAGTTGATCAATTGCAAATAAGTTAAAAAGATAATTCCACATAAGTTATTAATTATTTTTAAAAAGAAATGTTTTATAATTATTTTGCTATTGAAAAGTAAAAGATTTGAAAATTCTGTACATGAGACAGAAAAAAATTCACATAAAAATATATTGTATCCTCTACGAAAATATGAATCTGAATTTACAAGCTGCTGATCTGCCCTTTAAAATAAGGGTTGGGTGTAAATAACATTTCAAAAGTTTGAAGGTAACACCCGAATCGATTTTTAATCCTACGCTAGAATTTTCGAAATGATCCGAAATCCTTCATTCTAATGATGGATTCAAACGTTAACACAAGTACACTGGAAACAGGTATCCCTTTGAATTCATTGATTTCCGGTTGACCAATGAACCCTGTTCGTTAACTGCTCTCGAACTTTGTTACATGAATGGCTTAAATGTTTCGAATGTCGGGCAAGCAGAAGAGTGAAATTCTCACAAAGGAAACTGCTGTCAGAGGAAATTGAAAAGGGGTTGTACGTAGTTTCATTGAACAATGCATCGTGAGTTGCATACTTTTATACGGAAAAAAAAGTTTGTTCAATAATGGGCTATATTGATTTTTTCCTGATTACCTGCCTCAAAATTACTTCTAAAAAAAAATTTTTAATATATTTTTTTCAAAAAGTAAAATAACTCAAACATAGCAGACGCTTTGATGAATTTCCTAAGATCTTCTAATACTCGTTATTCAAGTCAAACTTTTACGTGACAAATAACTGGAACTAATCCAAAAATTTTTGTTTGATTTTTTAATTTATATTGTTTCAAAATTCAAGGAATTTTCAAGGGTCTGAAATGAAAGCCTTAATGAGAACAGCGGCAGGATTATTCTGAATATTGCTTAATTAGCATGGAGTATAATCACCATATGATACTCTATGCATTAACCAATTAATATTCCACTATAAACACCCAAGACTATTGTTGAATTTCTAATGAAAATTATATTCCCAGTACTGATTTGAAAACTGTGCGGGTGTGGTCTGATCAGAACAGCGTTCAACTTTGATGCTGGTCCGGGTCAACTTTTCTCGAACACATTGATGAAATGAAAATACCGCGCAAACGTAATTTCAATTCGTTCGAAGCGAGGAATGGTATCGTGTAGGTGCAACAACGGCTTGCATAATTTATGCACGCCAGTTTCATTCGCATTACTGTCGCTGTGAATCGATATTACTAATCATGATTGAAAAGTTCTCTTGAAATTAACACCAGTATACTCCACATTCATTTATTCATAGGATGTTTCCAGAATTTAATACCTTGCCTTCGTTTTCTCATATCCTGGCTATTTCAATATTTTTCAAATCTTTCCTATCACAGTGTTTGAAAATTTTAAGCATTTATTATTTTTATAGTACCCTTAAAATTTTACATATTTTTTAGTATTGCAGTATTTTTGAAATACTTACTGTTACAATTTATTTCACTTGAAACTAATCTCTTACAATGGTTCTATGAAATTTCAAACTGACGAAATAACAATGGTCTTTTTATTTTTCAAGTGAACTCGGATTGGGACGCAGCGATCAACGGTATTTTAGCCAGAACTGGCGGAATGCAGAAATGGACACTTGGAACCGGTGCGAAATGCCAGATCGACGACAGATCAACGTTTCGATGTAAATTCAACACCGACCTTCAACTGGGTATGAGTATGCAGCACAGACTCGATCCACATGTCCTGCTAACCTTATCGTTTAACGTCGATTGTTCTAATATGACAAGAGGTGGTCACAAAGTCGGTCTAGCCCTCGAATTGGAAGGCTAAATTACAAATAGGACACTCCTAGTCCTGTTTTCCTTTTGTAAAAATGCTCTTTGATATCTGTACTTTTGGAGTGTATTTGCTTTTCGTGCATATTGTGAACGTTCATATCAAATGTCCAATATTGATATTAAAGATATATTCTAATAGAATTTAGTACGAATTTATTAGTAATTTAAATGGCTGATCAAATGAAAAAGAAGAACAATATTTCTTACAGAAATTAATAGCAGGTAGATTTTTTTTTCAAAGCATTAGGTGTTTATTTTTTAGAATTTTATATTCCGAAATTATGATGTGGATATGTTGCCTCTTTCAATGGAGAACTAATTAACATTTTATAGAACTTTAAACTTTCAATTGACGTAGCATAAGTGCTATATTGAAATATTTTTATGTAGTGAAATGACAAAAACGTAACATGAAAGATTGATTTTCAATATGCAAAGTGTATAATATTGAATTGGAAGAAATCATTCGGACATGAAAAATCAATTTTCTTTAAAATTTATTTTATACATCCCTTATAACATGTTCAAATCCTCCTGTTCCTCTGCTTGAAACATTCGAACGATTTGCCAGCTGTTCACGAATGTTTCTATGATTAATGAGTTGCACTTATAGCAGAAAATCGTTTAATCACACTCCATTGCGTACATTATTGATGTATCGTGATATTCATCCCTAGTAAAGTTTCCATTAAATGAAAGAGCATATCCCTTGGTTCGATACAAAATATAAGAAGAAAAAGAAAATGAAAGCATGAGGGATTGTTGCTTTCCATCACTGAATATACATTTTCTTTTACCCCTTTGAAGTTTTATATGAAATCTTGCATAATGTGAAAGTATTCCGTTCACCCTTTGAGCTTCATTTGGTCCATACATTAAAGTAATTGTAAGTAGTATCATCTGAATCTTTCATCAAGTTTATGATACGTAAAAAGTAAGTTCGAGATACGAAATTCATATTCGTTACATTATTCATCATTTAACCCTGTATACATATAATGGTGCAACTCCGAGGTAATATATCAAATTTTTGTCGTAAATTGAAAACTTTCTTGTATACATTCTGCATTGTGTAACACTGAGATTTACGTGTATCGTAACAAGTAGATTATAGTATATTAAGAAGAATATTATTTTCAACACATTTAAAATAGATAGAAAATAGATATTTTTAATTAAAAACAAATTAAAACGTTAATTGATTAAGCTTTTACATTGATATCTTGCATTATTAGTATAATATTAACTCTACTCAAAACTTGTTTCCTTTTTATTATTACTAATTAATTACTAATTATTCCCTCATACAAAATTTCAAGCATTGGTCACTAATAACCGCCATGGAAATTAACGTTTAGCTATAGGAATATCCAATTAAAGACTGTAGATATAAAATTCCTTCAACCATATAGATATTTTAAAAAAACATTTTATTCCATTTTATTTCAACCAATTCCATTGCCTCTTTTTATTATTATTTTTTTTTTTATACACAACAGGCGATCAATACTGCGTGACTATACTTACTTACTCTTAGTACCTTCTTTACTTATCTATTTATTATTTTTTTTAATATGCAACAGGCGATCAATATCGAGTCATTTTTAATATACGCGAACCGTTGAATGGTTTCCTTGCTAGCCAATTTCTCTGTTTTCTTTTCTTTGAAAGGGGCAATTAATTATAATGTTCGTTTCAACGATATTTAGCCTGGCGATCATTAATACCCGTGGACGTATTTTAACAGGGTATCACGTAGTTTGGTAATTTAACAACGATACTAGAAATTAATGGTACAGGAACATTATTGATCTTGCTGCTAACGCGTAGCTCTATTGTAAACGAAGAAGTAGCTTGCGCGAACTTTTCAACAGCACAGATGAAAATTTACGAAGTTAAAGGGGAACGATCTTAATCAATCGTAACGCGTTATCTTACTAACTCTGACTATTACCTTCGGCAAAAATACGGAAGCACCATTTCTTTACTCATTCGACATTTGCTCTGAAAGGGTGAAATGATTTTTTTTAATTTGCCTTGAATAAATCATTAAATCTAGAATTTTTTATCTCTCACTGTTGATAAATTTCATCCTCTTAGAATAAATTTCGATTAAAAAGAGAAAAAAATTATTTCTTGTATAATTTCTTATAGTTTATAAAAATAAAAAGTAAAAATTTCAACTCGTTATCATACACTATTCTGGATCAGTCATTTCTAAGATTATCTCCAATTTTAATTCAAAAACAACCTTTCAATCTTCATTGCAATAAGAGTCGGACGATTAATCACGATTACCAGTATTCCACAGGGAATTGCTCGGAATGTAACAATGCAAATCCTGACAATGCAAGTGGAAATTAACATGGCCGCAAAATCAATGCACGTAAATAATAACTCACCTTATGCCTTGGAACCGCTGGCATACTGCTGGTCCTTCCACGATATTGCCTTGGTCCTGGACCACGAGATCCTGAGGACGAACCAGCTGGTCCAGCTGGGCTTGTCGGACTTGGACCACCTGGACTTGTTCCTGGACTCAAGTGAGACGAGGTAGACACTGCTCCAGGACTAATGGCCGGTGTTCTGGTGGGACTCCTTGGTGAAGGTGATAAATGACCCCATGGGCCAGCTTCTGCCTGTAGAAACCTATTGTTTGGAGGAAAATTGTTATCAGCTCGTGATAAAAGATCTTGTTTGTTGCGATGTTGTTACGTTAACCTTGGGAATAACAGCAAGTCGTAATTTTGAAGGATTTAAGTTTCAAATTTTTATGTTATCAAATCGTGTCAGACTTGATGGGCATTGAAATTGGTTATTGTTCAATACAACTGGAAACTAATTATCCTGTATGAAGAATGTTAATGAATAGTTTATAAAGTTATTTTTATTACATTTTAACCTTTAAATTGATATAGCATAAGTGCCATTTTACAATACTTTTATGTCATGAATTCATGTCAGAGAGTTACAATCGTTTAAATTTATTAGCATGTAAGTCATCATTATAATAATAAAGATATTATTTGAGATTGCGTTTTAGTGAAATTAAAAATTTCATTTTTATAGCTTCTACGGTGTCCTACATTTTATAATTTAATAACAACATTTTTTTAATTCAGAGGTACTTGGAACATAAAGCTTAGCCCAAGTTACAAATCTTTTCAACTTCTAAATTACAGAGTACTTAATCTCAGGACTTAATAATAAAAAAGCACGTATTTAAATTCATTAATTTTGAAAAAGTAGGAAAAATATTAAAATGAATGTCCTGGATGTAAAAATCTAAAAGGGAACAAGAGAAGAAAGGTATCTAGCAATTATTATTAACTAAATAATATACCTTACAATTGCTTACTGTTCCATGAATACTATTTTAATATTCAATTTTTATACTCGGTTCCATAAAAGGTACAATAAGATACGATAAAATGAAGCTACAAAAATTAATATTAAACTTGGACCTTTCACAAGTCAATTAAAAGATCATAATTACTCGTTAAGATAATTTTTGGAAAATTAGCTCAATGGATAACAAATAAAGATGAAGAATGGTGTCAATATTTGATTAAGTTCCCAGATAATTTTAAATCTTTTCAAACTGGAAAGTAATTAAAAAAGTAATTAAGCGAACGATGGCAGAAGAATTGCCGTGTAAAATGTTCAAACTAAAAACAGAGCTGAGTGGGAGAATAATCAGATTCAAGAACTTAACTGTACGATACTGTGATGTAAAAAGGGTCCCACTAGTTTCCTTAAGAAAAGAAAAACAGATTATTCAAAGCTTCTCCCGAGAGGGTAAATGATTTTCATATTTCTGTTCTCACTGAAGTTCCTCGTTAACTTTATTTCTGGTGATTCAATATCTAATAATAAAATATTGATTCTTGAATACCACGTAATTTCAAATGATTCCTTTTTTAATTATTTTCTGAAAGAAGTATTGTAATTAAAAGCTTCCCTTCATAGGAAGTTCCTTCAAAACCAAGCAACAGATGTTATTTCTATACTGATATATTAAATGTCTTTAAGAAAAATGTTTTGTTATAATTTATTTTGCAATTTAATTTCAATTTATGTATTAATAACACAATACGATGTATATTCCGTTGTGAAGTCGTATTTAATTTATCAGGTCAAAAAAGAAAATAGAGAATAATGAAAATTATATTGTATTACAGAAATTTTGTTTTCACGAGAGAACTGAATGGCTTTTGAATTTTGTTTCAATTCTGATATTTAAGATTAAATTTGGGAAAATTTAATATAATTCACAGAATTTTTCCGGTGAAAATTAAACGTTTATATTGAGTGGTGGAATTTCTTTCCTCTATAGTGCCACTTTTTTATAGGAAAATGGGATGCACAAAGATTCTCCAAATTTTGATATTCTGATTATGAATTCATTTAACCCAATGAAATTAGTTACCTGTGCAAATCTGGAGTTGGTCTGGCCACCGCTATACTGGAACTGCGTCGCCTAGAAGGGGTTGGTGATTTCGGACCATCGGCACTGGTATGTCCTTGCACTGATCCTGTTAATGAGCTGCGATGCAAACGAACCTCGACCTCGCTGCTTCTCCTTTGAAAAGCCCTCTTGCTCCATCGTCGGCTCTTCGAGTCTGAGTTCGAGCCCTCCTGTTGCCTAAAAGGACAATGATGAGTTAGCACAAAACATATAATTGATCCTTTGCCTTGTTCAACAACAATTTTAAACAGGCTGAGTCAAGAGGATAGAAGCGCCTTCTCTTCTCGTTTCAAAAAGGAAAAGCTTACTTGTTTAAAATTTCTCGTCGAGATAAACACGTTCATCGAGTTGGATAAAATCAAGAAAAGACATTATTGATAGGAGATAGAACGCAATGTTGATCTTGTTAATATTAGTCAAAGTTGGTTTACACGAGAGGAATTAGAAGAGAAGTTCGCTCGTTAACACGGTTCAGTTTGTGTTGCCTCTTCTGTTGATGTTTCCGGTGCTTATAGTTCAAGTATATCGATATATTACAATAATTACAAATATAAAATAGCATTTTTTTAAACATAATATTTAAATACGTTCGTAAGCCAGTGGTATGGATATTACGCTTGATTTATTAGAATATATTGGAGACATTAGAACGTAAATGCAGAAATATAATTTGAAATTTCTGTTCAAATGAAACTTGTGAATAATTTCATGCGTTTCTGCTGATATCCGATTTAATTCTCACAGTGAATAATTACCCCCAGGTATGTGGGTTGGTTTATACGTGCGTTTCATTTACAGAATGTATGTATATTGAATTATGTAAACGAAAATAAAATAATGTCAAGTACGTTACGATTTATCTGTTTATTGAATTTATTCGTTGAATTTGGATTGAAATATATCAAAATAAAAAAGAATATAGAAATTCAATAAATATTGATCAGACTTATAGTCAATAAAAGAAGATTTGCATACATGGGATCATGACTTATTCAACACTATTATTTTATTTAAAAATACCATCACAAATGACTGATTGTAAAAGATGGAAAGTCTGATACGATTTCATGACATAGAAGTATCTCAAAGTAATACTTATACCACATCAATTTAAAACTTGAAGTTTGATAAAAACAACTGCATTATCGTCTCGTGACTACAAAGTAATTGAATACGAAGTAATTGGTTGTCAATTAGAGCAAGCAGTAAACCCTAGTAAAATTCAAGTTTCGTTTCTTGATAGAGTAAAAGTCTAACGCTATTTCATGACATCAAAATAATGCAAATTTGCTCTTATAGTATATCAATTTAAAGATTAAACTTTACAGATAATTACTACGTAAACGATTTGTTAATAATCTCGATACAAAATGGTTGATTCTTCGTTGAAACAAACGAACTGTACAAAACAAATTTGTACCAAACAATGTATTAATGAATATACTTCATCCTTTTCATTAAAAACAAAATAAGAAATGTTTGGAATCACACTTTGGACTTAAAATTGCCATGCCATAAGTGTCATTTTACGATACTTTTATGTCATGAAATTGTGTCATTTAGTTAACAACTCAATTGTTACCACTTACGAAACACCCAGTACAATAATATGTAATTAACACCTCGAACAATATTCATAAAGAATCATCAAAAGGTTTCTGAACAAAACGTATCTAATTGTGAAGAGTAACCCCATTATCCGCGAATACGAAGCGAAAGTCATTGAATGAAAAAAGAATAATAGCGGCTGGTTAATTAACACAGAATTGAAGTATCAATCTGGATCCTTGGCCGAGTTACTCAATCAAATTAGGGATTGGTCGATAACTCCATTCTATTTCAGCTCGTATCTTAAAGATTTATCTGTCACGTATCGAGCTACCATGAAATCGCTTTACAGTGTAAACCCGAATCTGAGAGTCTTCCACTCGAGGTGGCTTCGTTCCGCGTGAAAGGTCGTCTCCGGTGTATTCCACGTGTCCCACACTTGTACGAATTCGGATATGAGGAAATGTGATTTCGCGATAAAATTCTAATGTCCTTTGTCGGGTCCATTTATCGTTTGCTATTTCGCACCCCCCTTTCATTCATACAAAATGTTATCAATAACGTGGCAATGATGTTCAAAGAAGAAGGGAATTTCACCTTTTCATTTTTATACTAATTGACGAGAGGAGTAGGTGGGTATTTTGTGCCCATTAAATAAGTGCCTAATTACTTAGGTAAATATAAAATAAATGCCAGGGTTGTTTTTCTCGAAAATACAGAGAAACCATAAAGATTACATAGAACCCTAACAACATTAATAGAGACACAGGGTTACTACATCGACCACATTCGCATCACTCTCTGCCCATCTTGTGATTGATTAACTCGCCAATTAAAAACCTGATTAGGTGGAACTTGAACACGTGTAGTGTTATACATATAATACCTAATAGTATATTCTGATAATGATAAGAAAATTGCAGATAAGAATGAATAATCTTTGTCAAATTTATTTTTAATTAGCAGATTCGTTCAACTTCACAATTTAATTATTAGAATACAAGAGGTGGGATCGTCAGAATAAAAGCAATCAATAATTTAGTATTGAGAGTGAAACGAAATTCGATAAACGGAGGAAACTGTCTTTAAATTCTACCACTTTAATTGCACTTAATTGCCCACACGTATATCGTAGAAGGAACGATTTACAACCATGGATTAAGGGATAGCCAGAACAATCGAGGAACGATTAAAAGGATTCTATTTTCTCTGGAGACAACATCGGCTTCCTACTAGGATCTTCGTAGATTATAATTATTGCTCTGCCAGAAATAATTGCATCGTAATTACTGACGGAAACGGAAGCTTCCGTCGCCTGGTTCGTTCGAGTGAACTGAAATAAAATCTGTATAATGGGTCAGGATTATTAAATTTAATTCTAAAGAAATGTTATACAGAAAATTATTTTACATTTCAAAACTTATTTAAAAAAAAAGATTAATTAATTTCGGCGACAAGATGGGAATTATTTTTGAATGTGTTTTTTAAAAAAGAAATCTTGTTCAAATTTTCAAGTGCATCTTCTGTAAATAGTAATAATAAACATCTCGTCACTTTTATGCCAGAATAAATTTAGAGCGTGCCTATAAGTGGAGTGTGAACGTGCTTGATTCTAAAATAAGCAAAATTTTCATTACCTTCAGATTGTTACGCAATTACTAAAGATTTAATGAGGACAAAAATGTAGGTATTTCAACAGAGGTTACGAATCGGTGAACTTTGTACAGACTTCTCCAATAATAGCAGTAAAGGTATAATTATAACAGTTGAATATCGAGTTTGAAGAAATTTTCCCTTGTTCTATCTATTCCATTCTATTAAACGTTCATTCCATTTTGCATGCACGATTGTAACATGGATAAAAGATATTGTATTTCATTTTTATTAAACCTTCTACTCTGTTCTACGTCTAATTTATTTTTAATTGAAACAAGATTTTACAAAAGGAGACCAATTTTGGGGATACCAGACCCTTTGATTCCTACCTAGTCCTAGTATCAAACTTCCTAAACTCAAAGAGTTAAAAAGTGATGAAAGATAATCGAATTAAAACTTGGATAAATTGTGTGCACGTATATTGAAAGCTCATGCTTGCATAACCATCGTTATTATTCCTCATTAGTATTTAATGAGGAAGAGAAGACAGATAGTTCAACAGAGACTATAAATTAGTCCTTGGATGACATTTTATCTCATTTCTCAACGACGTTTCAGTAGTTTGGAACTCTGTTTAACATCTCTTTACTTCGTGTCTAAGCAATATATCTTACTGCATAGCGAGAAACTTCTCTGATCTTCGTCTATTTGGGTTATATCTGTTTACCGTGTACCATGAAACTTCATCATGTAACGACCGATGGCACGTTCCATGGGACATTTCGAACATTACTAAGGGCTTATGGTATTATGGCCTTCCTTCGTTAAAATGTATTATCTGTAGCAGGTAATTAATACATTTGCTGTCTGTACACATATTCCAAGGCTATTAAGAAATAATGATTAAATTTATGAAACGAATAAAGAAAAACAAAAATATCGTTCTTTAAAATCGTTCTTTTGTAATAAAAATATTGATGGAACGAGTAGGTGATAATTTTCATGAAATTTTCCACTTTAAAATGATGTGATATAATCATTCTTTTGTAATACTTTTATGTCATAAAGTTATGTGAGACTTTTACAGACTTTGAAGAAGAAACCATGCACCTGACCTTACTTCATTACTTATTGTGACTAAATATTAGTAATTTCGTATTAAGAATATTGATGAAGGATTTATGGAATTATTTTCTTGAAACCTTAAACATTAAATTGATGTAGCATAAGTAATATTTGATGGTACTTTTATGTCATCAAATTATATTAGGCCTTCATAGATTTCTAATCTCAAGTTATTCTAATAAATCACCATTATGAAATTTATTTATTAATAATATTCCAAATTTGAGAGATTGGCTATTTAAATAATACTTAATTTTAACAAACAACCAGTGTATTTACCTAGGTATCAGCTTATCCTCGAGCATACTGGGTAGATCGTTTGAATCTTCGTTGAGTGCGTCGAAAAAGTCTTGAAACTTATCAGGAAAGCTGCTGGGCGGACAGCTGTTCATAGAAATACGATCAAGAAGCTCTGTAGGATTTTTTTCGGCGGCTTCATGTTGCCCTGATACGGTTGACGTTTCCATATAGTATTATCCCGATTCTCGAAGGCGATCACTTTAACCCTCGAACAACGGAGCAGGGTCAATCATGACCCAAACCTACGGAACGTATACAACGACGCTTCCAATAAAACGAGCTAATTAAATGTTTCAATGCAAAACCATCGATTACTAGTTAAAACAACATCCAAAGGTAGAAGTTAAAAATTTAGAAATAAAAAAAGAGAAAAAGAGTGTAACGTTAATTAAAAATTGTCACCTCCTCGGTGACCCGCCGTTCGAAGATCAATTGTGTTTTACCGGATATCCGTTTTGAACCTTCATCCGCAAAATTTCAAGGCTTTTTTTCAAAAAAGAAGAATAAAATCTGAAAAACCGATACTTTGAAAATATCGATAGTTTCGATAATAAATACAGTTTGAATGTTCAGTATCTCACAGATGAATCGAAGAGTTTGTTTAATGTTAAAAACACTGAATTACACGATGGAAGATGTAGCTTCAGGTTTCACGTGGGTGGAGAACAATTCGAACGAAAGTTCCCTGCATCGTTTTTGATGATCCACGTGATTTTTGTGAGAACAGCAGAGAAAAACTAAGAGTGCGATTTCTGTCACGGAATAGATCAAAGGGAATGCTTTTTATTCACGATCCCTTTCGCGTGGCTGACGGAACGACGAAACGGCTTTGTCTCGACAAGACCTTGATGAAAACTGAAGCTCGCATGGTTGTTGCACGTCGTTCTAGCTTCAAGTGCGCTTCGCTTGCGCAAGCGTGACTCACCCCCAAAGTTCCCTCGAAACGAAGAATATACGCGACAACCCGGTGAAAGTGACCATTTCTTTCCATTTTATCTTTCTTTTTCTGCTACGATCATCGTTACGTGTTCCAGAAGAAACTACTACTTTGTTGTTTCCGAAAAAACCTCAAAGATTCTTAACATTTTGATAGATGTTCTTACGTAGACGTGATTTAGAATTTCTTTCTATAATCAACATTCTTATTTTTTACTACCTACATTATATGTACATCGATTATAATTCGGAAACATCTTGGTATTAAAGCTTCCAAAGGTAATTTTGTTTTTGATATAAATAAATATAAAATTACTAAATTATAATTATTTTAAGCTGCAAAATAATAATTATTCATCGCATATGTTCTCCCGTTTGACTCTAAAGGTTAATGACGTATAACTATAGTTACCTTTGTTATTGATAGTAAAAGGGATAATACCATGGGGATCATCAATAATCAGCATTTGACTTATCGATGATACCACAGGGAATCATTGCTAATGAGCAATGGTAATATTAGTAGAAGCACACGAGTTATGTAAATGATAAGGTTTATACAATTTTCAATATTTTCAATGTTACTACATCAAGAAAATGTTCCTCATGCAAGGTTTTCTTCAGGAATTAAGCGAAAATGATGCAAACGAGCATTGGGGATTGAATAATTCCCGTTTCAATAAAGGGAAATCTAGGACACTTTTTTCTCTTTCTTCAACAGGACCAGCTTTGAGGATAAAAATTCATTCGGACTAGATTGATCGGGCCTTCCGAGGGTAGTTTTTTTTTATCGCAAACAAAAACTTTTTGGAAATGAAAAAGTGTTTTTTCCCTAAAGGGGAAGAAAAATGTATCTTAAGTTCATGTATGAGATAGAAACTGAAATGGAATTATTAAATGACTACATTTTTATTTATAATTTAAAATTATTTTATCTTTATATATTCTATCTAATATCAATTATACTTTATAAATTATACAAACATAATTCTACCAATAATCTTGCATTAACTATAAAATTGAATGTGAAATTGCAAAAAATATGGGTTAACACAATGAGAAAAATAAAAACCAAATACGATTTGCGAGAGAATCTGAGCTACGTGGACAAAAAGTGATAAGTTCTTTTGTGATGGTGAGTTGAAAAAGACCCAGTACATTACCAAGGAAAATGAAACGATCCCGAAAGGATCTTAATTGGAGAAATTAAGCGTCTTTACGATAAAAAGCCTAACCCTTGTTAGCAGAAGGACGCGTAAAAAGGTCAAGAACGGTCCTAAAATAAATGTTTTCAACAAAGAATTCGTCGTACCAGACATTTTGAAGTTTTCAATCAAGCTAAAATTAAATGTTTAATTAATCTAAGCATTATAAACTCAAACATAAAAATTCTGAACCGTTCGTGATTTTCCTAGCCCGTCTTATAAAAACAAACTCCTAAAGAATGAGGAAGAATAAAAATGTTTTGTTTTCGACTGAAACTTTTCCGTGAACCATATTAAAATATCATAAATTACATTCATTTTCGACAGGAACGAAAGCCGCGGATGAATAACAAGTGTCCCAGTAGTCGAGAAAAACGCGTGTCGCGTAGAAAGAAAGCGAATGTGTCATGACAATGCGACCACTGAAAATAAATCTGTGGCACGCAGTTTTCATTTGCGTTTTAAGCAGAAACCGAAACAAAAACCGTAAGATGATATGCACTGTCGATCAGGAGTTTCAGGCCATTTCAAATGTTGCATATCAAATAATCGATTTTGAAATATAGAAAGTCTGAGAGAATTTCATAACATACAAGTATTTGGCAATAATACTTATAGTACACCAATGTAAAGCTTAAGCTTTGGCAAAAATGGCTGAATAAACGTCTCGTAAAAATTCTTAAAACAAAACGACTGGTCTTCAATTATAGCAAGCTGTGAACCGGAGCGAAATTTAGTTTTGCTTTTTTACGGGATAAAGACTGTTCGGGAAAAAAAATATTGAAAAACAGACTGAAATTTATACGCTATTGCGTTCTATGTTGTGCGTAGAACGTGAAGAAGAAAAACATGAATAGTTAATGATAGGAGTGTTTGTTAACTGAACTTTCTTGATATGATGGCTATAGTAAACTATATTCCAGATAGTTTATTGCTTTTCTTATCTAAAACAAAAGCAATTTTATTTATCTTCTGATACATATTTTACCTGCATTTATACGTAACATGAGATCTAAACAACTTATACACGTGTAGAGTACCGAACAAACAAATAACATAATTTTTAATTATTAAATATTATAAATTTTAGTATGTAATTGAAATATCATTTTCTCTTTGTAAACATTTATGTGGTGGATAGCCACAGACGTATATTCAAGGTGTTCGGCTAAGGGTGGGAATCTTTCGAGGGGATGCTAGGTAGGGTGATTCCGAACAACTTGTTTTTTACCAAAATGCTCGTTAAGGCGTAGTTTCTGAATTATTAATGAAAAAACGTCGATCAATCACGTAAAGGACGCAGGATCATTGGCTACGAAAACCAAGGTCTTTAGTGTTGAAAAAATGTATAATTTAACAAGTTTCGTAAAAACAATTCTTCTACTTAAAGGAATAATGAAATTTTCATTAACTGACGTAAATACACCCCTAATTTTGATGTTGGTCACCGATAATCCCCAATGACAGTAACCATGTTAATTACACGGTCTAATATAACAGACAACGGTCCTTTCTATCGCAAGTGATCAGAAACGAGCAATATCCGTTTGACGCTGTTGCTCTCACCGCAAAGAAATTTAATTCAACTTCGAAGCACGTTTCTAGCACTTTACACGCGCGACAATCGATCGTTTCGTTCATCCTTCTTAATTCTCGGGGGGTCAATCTCATCGCTGGATCAACCTTTTTTCTATCCCTTTACCAAGAAGCTTTGTTTTTCTCCTCCCTTTTTGTACAAGGTGTTTCAGAACCACAATTACTAACTAGAAGTACTAACGCAACTTCGAAATCATGATTTATTTTAGTAAACCACGCGTTTTCAGATGAAAATTACCTCTAGCAGAAAGTTTTCAACTTCGTTCGTAAGAAATTAATTGAAATCATTCGGAATGTGATGAATAATAAAATAAAAACAGCACAATTTATTCAAAATCTACTAAGAAGAAAGATTTAAAAATGCAGTTTCCGGGAAACCAATTTTCAACGATAAAATCCGTCGCTTTTGATGCGGATAAGTTGATGTGGAAAGCAAGGAAAATTCTTTCCAGTTCGTCATAAGATTCCAGAGAATTCTGTTTAAGATTATATTCCTTGACAAGACCCAGACCTAAAACGAAATCGCCCGAAGGGAAAGAAAGAAACTACGATGCGAGACAAGGGTGAATTTCAATGTTCTGAATGTAAATGTAACTTTGGTACAATTTTCCTTTTATGGAAAAAGTTTTTGTCATTTCCGTCAGATCAATGATTGAATTACATTTATCGTGGAACACCTTGTATTAAGGGACCTCGAACGAGCTTGTAAACAGACTTCACTGTGCTAACGAACCGAATGGATCTTGTTCCCTTCCTGTCGCCCTACGAATTCAGTTCATATCAACCGAACTCACTCGCTAAATTTACTGAACGAGGGAATACGAACCAGTTGTTTATTGCGAGATCGCAATTTCCAGAAGAATTTCTGAATAAGCTTTTGTTCGAACAGTTGAGTTAACATTATTAATAACGTTTGCGTTAATTTTAATGCAAATAAAATTTTACGAATGAAATTATTTTATTTGCAACGGGATATTGAGTTATAAAGACATAGGAACACGGCTTACGGCGGGGGCGAGCATTGAAAGAAGTAAATTTTCGCTCTCCACGATCATTAATCCTTTTAACTATTATAATCATTCAATGCAAAACATTTATGTCTTGAAACAGCGGAAATGTAATTTAACTTTTTCTATAACACCCACGCTGAGAAATTTCTCGTTGCAAATAAAATTGTTTCATCTGCGTTGGAATATTGAGTTAAATAATCTGCTATAAAAACGTAGGAGTGTAGTTTCCGGCGGAGGCGACCGCAAGAGAATATTTACGCTATCATACGGCCATTAACCCTTTCATTACTATACTCGCGTCTATGATCGTCCGCCGCACAGCGTTTATATTTCAATACAGCAGGGATGAAACGGAAATTTTCATGACATCTATGCTAAAATGTTTCTCATTGCAAATAGAATTTTACCGCAAAATTATTTAATAATTCGCTTGGTTTCGTGAATTTGGATTCTATTTATTCCCTACTCGTTTGATGTGGTGAACAATTTCTAGGAATAAGATTGTCCTGCTCTAGTTACCAGCCGGAAGTGTCAAGGGAGTGTATTGTACACCAATGAGTGTCTCGAAATTTTCCTGCTATTTTATTTATCGTTACGAGAGTGATGGAAGGCGGTCCGAGCCCGAGGGATCGATAACTGTTATCGCGGTTGTTACCATGGATACATCAAAGCTCGTTCGTTAACGCTTGAAAATAATTAAGACATGGCTGCAGCTTATTACTAGGAGTTAATCAAATTCGACAATCGGTTGGGGTAAGGTAACGGGGATGGATGTACCATGGGGGATTACGAGGCCGATAGGTTACATCAGTTAGCGGTGTCTTTTCTGTTTAATTGACCTTTTGAGTGATGTCAACGTATATATGCGTCCTACCGAGAGCTTATCAAAGTATATTATCGATCCATATGTGCGGTTGATCAAATTTCATCGTCCTACTACCTCTAACCATTGAATTAGGACCACTAAATGTTTCCAATGATTTTTAATGGTTTTACATAAAAGGAAAAATTGCCAAATGTTTAAGAATATTCACCCTCTTCCCCCAAATTAAGAAAAGCAAAAAAAAATTGCAAATACAACAAATTTCGTAATTTTCGTGACTTTCAGATTCAGAATTTCTCTTAGTAA